CTCACTCACTCACTCACTCACTCACTCACACACTCACTCACTCACTCACTCACTCACTCACTCACTCACTCACTCACTCACTCACTAACTTACTTACTCACTTACTTACTTACTTACTTACTTACTTACTTACTTACTTACTTATTTATTCATACACTGACAAGACAAATGAAATAAAGACAAGGTACTCATGACAATAGAAGATAACAAACAAATAAACACACGTTAAACAAAGAGCAAAATTGATATTGTTTATATTGTTTTATTTTAAACTCACCACACAATTTGCTTGACATTTCCGGTATGTTTTCTACAGGATCTTTCGTGCATTTAAAAAACAAATTGAATTTATCTACAACTTTGATATCTAATGACTTTCCCGATTTTTTTTATTACTTAATTTTTTATTTTATTTTTATTTTTGTTTAACAAATTTATTATTTTTTGACAATGCTTTTAATTTTAGAACGGCAATTAATAGAAACTAGAACATTTGACTTTATAAAAAGTAAGAGTAAGTTTCGAATGAAAATACAAGTTTATACAAGTTTGTTTAACCGAATAATATAAGCCATCGGCCCATATGCATAATACAATATCAAAAAGATGTACATCTTGTTGTGTCACAAAGAATAATATACAATACAATTATTAAAGCAAAACAGTGAACATTGTACAACAAGGTAGAGAATAACACATAGTGCAAAGCTGCAAATGTACAGCATGTCAAGTTCAGAGAATGTACAAATATCTTCATTATTAGACTGTCAATCCAGTGTTTCATTTATTGCTTTGTATGATGTCGTAGGTTTGTTTATCGTCCTTCGAATATCGTACAAGATCCGTGTACATTTTTACAGAGTTTTCGTACTCGTCCGTGTTAGAACAACCTGGTTCTCTTCGATTTCCAGCAGTTTTCGAATCTTCCTCTACTTTTTCGTAATATCTGTAATAAATCCTTAGTTTATAGATACTTATAAAAGTTCCGTTATGATTATAACGTAAAACTTGAGTTAAGTGCTACTCCGCAAAAACAATAGCAGGAAAATTAAATATGCTTTAAGTGAAGATGCGTGAAAGATTAAGATAATAAATTTGACAGCAGCAAAAGAAAAAGTAGCAAATTATAAAATTTAAAATGAAACTTACGCAGGATCAGTCGTTCCAGCTGATTCCCCCTCGCCTGAAATAAATAAATTTGAATAAAGTACATTTAAAGTCCATTTCGCCTTAAAAAGGCTGTCAGTTTTTATTTTTCAAAGCTTTTTAGTTTTCTTGACCTTTACAGTTCTGAGCAATTTTTTGCTTCTCTGCGTTTTGGCAATTAGTACACTTACAGTGATCTAATGATTTAATGTTTCGTATGGAAGTCAGAATAATACTTAGTTAATATTGTTCTACATTTATGACTAATAACCTCACATTCAATGCTTTCTTCTGTTAATAAGCATATCACATATTCTTAGCAATTGTAAAGGCCATTTTACAAGATTATTCATTTCTGATGCTTAATTCATCAATTACTCAGGCTAGATTAAGACCTTCTCTTATAAATGTCTAGTCAATGTCATTTATTTTCTATAGCATTTTCTTCATAGAAAATCTTTTAATTATGGATTGGCGTAGGATTTTCCTTATCTATATTTAGGGCTGGTGACGTCATTGGTATTTACCTGGGTTAACTGTTTTGGTTCATTGAATTTTTGTATTCCTACGCCGTCTATAAATATTCAACATTGCGCGTAATCTGCACAGTTTTTGTCAGACACGTTTAGTTATCAGTCGTTTCTTACTTGTTCTTCAATTTCAGCATCTTTAAAGGATATTCAGAAACTGCTCGGTAAACTGAATTTTGTGGGGGCTTGCGTCCGTTCAAGTTGGATTTTTGTTAATCGAATACTGAATTGGTTACGTGAATGTTATGCTGATGTTAGTAATCATGTTTTCTTAATTCCTGTAGAAGTCAAAAAGGATTTATGTTGGTGGAATGAATTTCTGCCTATGTATAATGGAATTTCCTTGATAGATTACGGAGACTGGTCACAGATAGATAGTGTTTTTAGCTCAGATTCTTGTTTAACAGGTTGTGGGAGTATTTTTGGGAATAAGTTTTTTCATACTGTTTTCCCACAGTTCATTTTGGCTCAAGATTTAAGTATTACTTGTTTAGAAATGTTGACAGTTTTGGTATCATTAAAGTTATGGGGACCTGATTTACAGAATAAAAAGGTTAATATTTTTTGTGATAATTTGGCTGTTTGCATTGTTATAAACACAGGTAAAGCTCGTAATTGCTTTTTACAACAATGTTTGAGAGAAATTTGTTTCATTGCATCAGTATATGATTTTCAGTTAAAAGCATCACATCTTAGTAGTGATAGAAACCGTATAGCTGATTGTCTAAGTAGATGGCATTTGGATAGATTGTATGTTTCTGAGTTTTTTAATCAGGTTTCTCATATTCCTCAATTGACAGATGTTATTGTCACTGAGGATCATTTTAAAATGGTTCATAATTGGTAACTTCTTATTTCAGATTTAGAGATTAAGACTTTGCGGCAGGAACTTAGACTTAGTCACTGAGGATCATTTTAAAATGGTTCATAATTGGTAACATCTTATTTCAGATTTAGAGATTAAGACTTTGCGGCAGGAACTTAGACATTCTATTTCATCAGCATTTGCCGAAAGAACAAATAAAAATTTGAAAATACAATGGGAAAGTTTCTTGATGTTTTGTATTTACTTTAGATTACGTTTTTTACCAGCATCCACTTCAACATTGCAATTATATGCACAATTCCTCAGTAGGACATTCATATCAGTGGATAGCATCCGCAATTATATTTCGGGTGTTAAAACTTTACATTTGTTACTTGGTTATAGTATTGATCATATAAATTCTTATTTGCTGAATTTATCTTTAAGGGGAATTAATCGTTTGCATCCTAGATCTGTAAATCGTGCAGAACCCATTACTTTAGACATTTTACGCAGCATACATGCTTCGTTAGATTTTTCAGACCAAGATAATATAGTTTACTGGTGTTTATTTTTATTTGCTTTCTTTTTAGTAGCCAGGAAATCTAATTTAGTTCCTACAAATTCATCTGATATCGTTAAAGGTAAATTTTTAAGCGCCTCCTGTATCAAATATTTTGGAAATTACATTTTAGTGCATTTTAATTGGTCGAAAACTATTCAATTTGGAGAAAGGGAGGTAATTAGTCCATTACTTAGATTGAAAGAAACAGAGTTATGTCCAGTGTATGCTTATGAATTAATGACAGGTTTAAAATTTCATAGGAAGAATGATGTATTTTTCTCTTTAAAAGATGGGTCGTATATATCTTATTATCTGTTTCAAAAGAAACTACGTCTTTGTATTGAAGATATTGGGTTAAATCCAGATTTATTTTCCACTCATTCATTTAGAAGGGGTTTTGCTACATTAGCTTTTCGTTCTAACATTTCTCCTGAAAGTATAAAATTGATTGGTGACTGGAAATCAGATGCCTTTCGTCATTATTTAGAATTAGGTTGGTCAGATAAAGTACATATTTTATCAAATATGTTTGACACCACTTTTTAATTCAGATAATTTGATCACTGATATTAAAAATTACTTTTTAAAAATTAATTAATGTACATCTCTTTCATTACAGATGTACGAGTTCACATTCTGAGTGATTCAATTGCCAAATATATTAAAGGGATATGGTACACTACAGTTTTCCCGTTTAGAGGGTACACTTTACAAATGATGATTGACCAAATAGATGCGGATCCTAGTTTGGTTAAAGCCCCATATATTATTTTACACGTCGGAACCAATGATATTAACTCAAGAGAAAAATTTTCAGTTGATGATATAGTTAGATTAACAAACGATTTACTTAATGTTATTTGGAAACACAACCCTTCTGCGCATATTATAGTTTCTAAGTTTCTAGTATTTTACCTAGACCTGTCGATTTTGATGTCACTAATGAAAAGGTTAAATTGGTTAATGAAAGATTGCAAGTAAAATGTAAGGAAAGGAATTGTCAGTTTATTAAGTCGTATAGACCATTTCTCTTTAAGGGTCGCCCCAAAAGGAATCTTTATGCTGTCAGGGACGGGGGGCTTCATCTTAATTTTGCTGGAACAGATGTCCTCACGATATCACATATTGTTAAGGGCAAGTTGGCCATGTAGAGTTGATGTTGTCATTTAAAAAGGTCAACAGGCGGCACATACTTGATATTAGTTGTATATACTATTAGTTAAATGTGTTTATATTTCAATTTATTTTATTCATAATATTTGATAATTAATTATATGTAAGTGTGGTCTAGCAAATGAATGTGGGCATGCAGTCTTATTTAGTCACAGGCTTTCAAAGGTTTTAAGGGGTAGTAGTTATGCTCTTGACCTTTGATCAATTAAGTGACATCTTGTCTTTATGTCAGTATGTTAACATTTATTTAATGGTCACCTTGACTTCAATTGTCTGATCAATGTTCTGAACTTATGTTTTGACATGTTATGTTCTATACATTTTAGGATAATTTATCAGACGGATATCTTGTAAGTTTATTCAGAATTATTTTTGTTCTAAGTGTGCTTTTTAAATGAAAGTGACATTATCTTCTAATTGAATTTACGTATTTATTCTAAGGTTGTTTGGCGGAATTGTTGTATTCAATTATACTTTGCTTATTAATATTTAATATGACTTACTTTCCATTGTATACTTTGTTTGCTTTCTTAGTCATATTATCATTTCTGATTGTTGTATTTCTGACGTGTCTGAATCCTCAGTAAAGTGTTAATATTATTATGCTTCCTTGTTTTTAGTCCTTCCTTTTCTTGACAACAGAATGACATAATTAATAAATATTCCAATAAGTTTCGATTTGTATTCTCAAAATATCAGTTTTACCTTTTCTGATGTTAGTCCTTCTCAGTAGAATTGTAACATAGACTGCATAACCACTCAATACTGCACTTAATAACCCGAATATTATTCCTACTATCATCCAAGTATGACATGTGTCTGTGCAAGCATTATCTGCTGCAATTGGTGATCTTTTACTATTATCTGAAATAAACAATTAAAACAGTGAAGCCGAATTAATTTTAAAGCATATAGAAAATAATTATAACTAAAAACATACACAAATACTTTTAAACGAGAATGTATATATCTTCGTTTATGTGGGCGGTGGTGTTGGTAAAAGATGAGTATAAAGATCAGCCATTAGAGCCGGTAAGCAGATCGCAGAGCCCCTGTAGACAACATCCAGTCACACAAAACCACTGGATAGGCACCCAGTAAGACACAGACAAGACAATGGTGGACAATAATACAGGTACGAGCTTAACGAGTTAATCAAAGAGGACTCTAAGAGCATGATAGAATTCGGATTGGTGAATGATGCATGTAGTTAAAGTTAAAACAAGAAAAGTCACTTAAGGTTTAATCAATATCCTAATCACCACATTTACCTTTTTCTACAAGAAATAGGTGTTGGGTAAAGCTATCTATTTCATTTGTAACTGTAACACGATAATGTCCGTAGTCAGATGCTGTCACATTCCAGATGGTTAGGTTTGACTGCAATAACGATGAAGATATTTGTATATCTGTGTTACTCAGTAGTTTTTCCCAAAGCATACCCTTTTCTTTGTGCCAGATAAATCCTGTTGGTCCGGGTTCCGGGTATGCTATTGTGGTAAAGCTAAGTGTCGACGGAATATACATTTCACTTGTAAAATTTTGTTTGATTTGTTGATTCGAATGCGGAGAGCCTGAAATCAAAATGAAAAAATGCAAACTGATGGAAAAGAATGGCACAATAGACAATATCTTAAGTGTTATGTGATAATAAAATATTATTTAAATGTTTTGACTATTGTTTCCGTTTATGGCCATATGTCACAGAACTTAGAAGCAAATGATCATAGGGATTTCTTAGTTTATAGAAAGCAATTTACTTATCTTTGAAGTATATTGCATACTTACTTTACTTAATCGAGTGACTTGGAACATGAACATGAAACAAAAAGTGGAGACATCAAAGCTTTAGCCATGCATAAATTATATAACTAATTAAGACTTTTTTACGATGTCATTAACATTTATTGTTTTGTTAATTAAATTAATTAGCTTTTAATTAACATCTTTTTATCACGCGATGATTCGATGCATTAGAAAAAAAGGAGTTCTTACATCTAACAAATATACGTATGCTTCCGCTAAATGTTCCTCCATGATTATTACCCCCATTGCACACATACATGCCAGAATGCAAACAGTTCATGCTCTTATAAGTAAAGGAAGTGATGCCTGTATCAAATTGCTGTTGAATCACTTTGTCTTCAAACAATATTTGGACTGTTGATTCCCAATAAGTATCTACTACACAAATGAAGTTTGCGCCCGCTGTGTATTCATCAAGTGTGATTTCTGTTTGGCCTTCCTTTCCTTTTATGAAAAAGTCTATATCTGAAATGATAAGAAATTATTTGGAATTAAACTCATGTTGAATTTGTTCTGTGCTTTTTTGTAAATATGTAAATGAAACAGAGCCCGTATACGCCCATGGTAAGCTATGATTAGATATGTTCACACAAGTCATATTAAAATAGAAGCATATTTCAAAATCAATGGCTTTAGAAGCGTCCTATCTTCAAATCTTCCAGAAGATGATTACAATGAGAATTAATTGGGAAATAACTGATAGCATATTTACTTACATTCAACTTTGATATACAACGAAGAAGTTTGCTCAGTCGCGATCTTGTCTTTTGCTGTATTTGCACAGGTACATGTATAATTCCCGGTTTGGTATTTTGAGACTGTTCTTATAACAAAACTTCCGTTTTCTCCAATACTACTTCCTGAAGATTCATTTCTCCAAACGCATGCGCATGACGGGTAACAATTTGCTTTGCATTTGATTGTCTCAGTAGTATCTCCTTCCATAATTATATATGGAGATGTTGTATTGATTTCGCACTTGTCAGGTCCATCTATAGAAATAGAAACTTTGCGTAAGACCCTGATTGAAGATGTGTTGGAGATAAATGGTTAATGATAAGAATATCAAAGTTCATGGTCGTCTAAAATTTGTACTTTGGGTTTAATTTGGTTTATGATCGTTTTCTAAAAGAAACATAGAAAAATGCCACTTTATGTCGACAAATACGTTTTTCCTCTGTTTTTTAAACATCAAAATGATCTCGAGATTGAAAGGGTTATATTCAAATGCTACAGAACATTAAAAAAAATAACAACTTACAAATAACAACAAATAATGACTTTTCACTTTCGTCTGATGTATACCCAATAACTTCATCGCCGAATTCTGTAGCGCTGCACGTTAAACTCATGTTGGCATCCTCTTTATCAACAGACTTGATAAAAATTGTCTTTCTATTTGAAGAATATACATATCTTTGGTTAGAAGGGTTGTTTACATTGTCGATTTTCCAACTATATGTAAGACCTAGTGTGTGGTTTGTCGGGTATGTTGTAGATATGCTGGTACAAGTTAAAGTAGTATTGTTTCCTTCTATATTGATCTTTTCATGATAAACAGTCGCCTTCTTTGGTTTATCTGAAAGAGAAACCAAACACAAAGTATGAAAGAAAGATCTATAAGGAAAAGCGACATTCACTTAACGTAGCCTCCAACAGAACCCAATCACACAGGGTCATCGGTAAGACACAAAGCAAAGCAACAACATCTAGAGAGAACAAGGGTTGAGCATGGACGGAGGGTATCAATGATAACTAACATAAACAAATATGATATTGATGCGTCCATTAGCAAACGTTTGGTCTAATCAGTTGTGCTTGAAAATAAAAACTACTATCATTCTCATTTCGAAATATTTAAAAAAAAGTAAAATAAAAAATACTTTTAGATATCTTGAGATACTAGTACTGCTCTTAACTATCCTTTACTTCTTTTCTACTAAAAGGCAAATCTTTGGTTCATTTGTAGCGCATTGTTTAATTTTGCCCTGATTCTAAGAAAATAAATTAAGAGAGGAATGAAATATTTGACTGATATTTAATTTATGTAGGAATATACTATCTTAACATTTCTACCATTTTATAATAACTTAATAAACTTAGATTAGCAGCTGAATTTAAATATTTGATATACAAAATGTATTTCATTGTGTTTCACAAAGACAACAAACATGTGCACAAGGGCGCGCACGCACCTATGATATACAACATGGCACATTCTTCTGTAGTCATATTCGACGCTCCTTCTTTATATTGTAGCATATATGTCCCACCGTCTTGTTTTATCACACTTGCTGTCTTCACAGTGAAATTCCCAGTGTTTGCATCTCCAATAAATTCTGAGCCAAAATATGTCCTCTCCTTTCTTAAGAGATTTTCATAAAACAAGGCAGAGTAAAGGTTATTCTGGTCAAATGATGCGACGCTATACAGTATTTGTTGATGATATGATTTAATTTTAGTCTGAAAACTTAATACAGCTTGCTCGCCACTTTTGGCGTAAATTCTTTGAATGTCCACATCACTAGGACACTTCCACCCATACACTGAAAAGGAAAAAACGAGTATGTTTTTTTGTGTGCTGATATTACGCTGTTGTCATTGAATGGATACACTAACACAATAATATAAGAAATATGTGTCATTGTTAAATTTGTTTAAAGGTGCTTTATAAATGACGAAGAAAAAAAACAATAGCACAAATTCTTTCGAACTACGTAGTCGGTATTGCTGTGTGGACGAGTGTTTAACTCGTCGCAATAATAATCCGCGTCGGCTCAAACCCTGTCAGAAGCGAGCAGTTGTTTCCTACTCATTGCTCAGTACTAGTTGGTTACAGGTGCGGTTTCGACGGTGTGTCTATAAGTTATAAGGATTCTAGACAAGTGTACCGGAATAAATATTGTATAAACCGAAAATTACAATATTTGAAAAAGAGGAATTTATGACACACTCATTCATATGTGTTTTTAGCATATACCTTTTAACAGTACGATTTTTCCATAGCAACGTATGTTGCATTTCGCGCATGCGCATTCTGCGTAGGACATAAGAGTAATAACGATAGCATACATTTAGCGCACTTAAAGTCTTTAAAAGGCGTGATTTCAAGTTATGTCATCCAGAAAAAAGAAATTTTGGGATGAATTAAAGCGGTAAGTACTTAAAACGTGAATTGATATTTATAACAGATATACAAAATAAGCGGCACTTATACATGTTATTATACACAACGACCAAAAGTCCTCAAGGTATCATTGAGTGACTTTTTCATCAGTAGGGTGTTAAAGGAACTGGACAAAATGTGTGTTATTCCACTACTCAACTTATAAATTAACGTCACAAGAGTTTGAAAAATTATTTAAATATATATTGTGACTTAAAAAAATTCTGTTCTGTTTGGCATCTCAGTCGGATAAAGGATAAATTAGCTAAACTGAAAACTAAAAATGCATTATATCACGTGTTCCGACTTTTTTTCAGAATGATATTTAACTTCGATTTTTAATGTTATACATTATATGTCATAAAAATATGGACGTTTTCAACAACAATTAAATTGACTTCTTTATTTGCTGATATATATATATTTAATATACAATAATCTCAATGTCAGTTCAATGATCGTAAGGGGGATTCTTAAACAATCGTCTTTTCCATGACTTTTTTGGGCAATCTTGGCCACAAAGCTATGAAGGCATCTTTTGTGTTTCTGTTAAAAGCTTTTTTATATGATTTTCTAATTTTTACCTTAAACAAACTCGGAATTGTCTATGAATTTCTACTCCATTTCTGTGTAGGGCATGGCTCTTTTTTTTGCCCTACGCAAATTGCGCAATGCGCGAAAAAATACTACTTCCGGTCTTTTTTTTTTTCATAGCAACGGACCGCGTCGTAAAACTGTCTTCGGTTTGTTCGGTATATTTTATTCTTGAAATGAAGATTCGAGGTGTTAGTCGTGAATACCGGGTGTATACTGAAGTCAAAATTGAATATTTGAAAATTTGAAAAACAGTTTTCTTTAGATTTATACAAAATGTGGTCTGAGAAGTAAGTAAACTTTTCAGAACATGATTTATGTCCGCTTAGCTGATAATGGGATACATACATGTGTGAAATACATCAGTAAAATCTCAAAAATGTTAATGTGATGAGCTTGAGTCTAATTTTTTTCCATTTTGCATCCGTATTTATTTAAAGTCTTGCACACAAAATAACTTCAATTACAAGAAATGAAAGTCGGCGATGTGTTGAAAAAAAAAATAAAATGATGTGTAAGAAAAGCTTTACATGTACCTGCATTTAACATCCAAACAAGAAATACTTTTACAAGTAACATCTCTTTGGTATTTTGGTCCCATTCATTTCAGTGCAATTAATCTACCGTTTAAATGTTAAAACCGAAGTAACTTAACTAGGAAGTTAATTTTCTTCAATGTTCTAACAAAATATATGTATTTATCATAACCCGGAAGTCAATTTGATGTATTTTCTTTTTAAATATAACATTTTTTCAACTGGATATGTAATAACCTTTTAGGACACAGTTTAAATATCGGTTTAACAACATAAAATAATCAGGAAATGGGTTTGCTATCTTAAACTAATTCATTTGCGACAGAACCTTACTGTAGTACAAAATATATCTTCATTCAGTGCAATTCAGTTTTACTCAGACTTTGAAGTAAAAACGGATGTGAAAACTTAAATCTGATCTATATCTATTTTTAAATTGACAATCCTTATTCCATAAATATTTATATTTCATGACTATATCGAACAAAAACCGATTACTATTCACGTATATATATACTAGTATGTGCGTGAAAGTATTTTTTAAGCGAAAAAAAAAATCATTTTAAAAGACTTTTTATGTAAGGAAATATCTAAGTTAGACACGCTTAATTACAGAAAAAAATCAAAAATTCCCTGTCAAAACTAGAAATTTAGAAATTGATACAGAACGACTGTAGAACAAATTCACGGTATGCAAAACAAAAAGTAAGATTAGAATTTTATAATGCCAAATCTGACTACATGTTTGTATTGACAGAAAATATCATATCTGTGAAACTTACTACAATGCGATGCTTTGAATAGTAGTAAATCCTAATATGTAAAATCAGTTTAAAAGATGTTAATCCATTTATTTTTGTTTTCGTTTCTCAAAGTCACAAATATTAATTGGAAATTCTCTACCATAAATACAAAAGTCAAAGTTTTTTGTCACAACATAGACACACGTGTGTATTTTATGTGTTTATTAATGTAAACGTGTATATATTATTAGTTATAAAGATTGTTGACAGGTTATATGGCCCTATTTAAACGGCTATTTGTAATATAACCCGAGCCGCTAGTCTGTAAAAAAGGTCTATACGGCCATATAACCTGTCAACAATCTTTATAACGAATTTATAATACAGATAGCATCATCTTTTAAAGAAATCAAAGTGCTGCAGCACTGAATGCGACGGACATGCATGCAACCGGAGATTAAAGCTTCTTTTAAACAAAAACAAAACACAAAATATATAACAGAGAAAATTTGTTCCATGCAAGTTCGAGATTTGTAGAGCAATATATTTTGTGTCCCAAACTGATATAATTCAGATTTTCTACTTTCAAGCACTTAAATACAGAATGAAATTCATGCCTAAAAACTCTGGTCAAACTTGTAAATCAGTGTCCTTATCGATTTATTCTAAGAAATGATATGTAAATAGGAAAAAAAACTGTCAACGAAATATTTCTAAAATAAATCCAGGCAAATAAACTTCAAACATAATACATTATACATTTGAGAATGCTATTTAGAATTGCTTCGTGTTATATCATAGTGGGCATATAGACAATAAAATATAAGACATTTGTATTTTTATTTCTCATATAATATGTCTCATTAAAAAAAAATTTGGTTAAAATCATCAGCAATTAATAGCGTATTTTTTAGATTTTTTTTTATTTACAAGGTAAAGATGTAGATCGTTTTTATTTTAATCTAAATGTCACTTAAGCACTACAGTGTTTAGTTGTCCTTTTCAATTTCACACTAAATTCCATTTTCAACTTGTTTGCTTCTTACAATTGTATAGAATTTCTAAAAGTATTGCATGTAATCCGCTGGTTTATTAATTACATGTATAATGTGTACATCCTAATAGCCTGTCCAAAAATCAGAACAGGTGAAGCAGAATCTATTTTTAGAATAGCGAAGGTTAATTCATATCATGACCTAGAAAAATATGTAAACAAACCACAAGAATCGGAAGTAGAACTGATATTATAACTTCCTTACCATGAAAGACTACATGGCGGTAAAGTGTTGAAAAACTGTCTTCTTACATGCATTTTCAAAAATAGATATTTATACTAACTATTGTACTGAATCTAATATATTTATAACTGCTGAATATTCAGCTAAACCCGCGGTATGAGTCACGAAAATAGTTCTTCTTTTATAAATGCGCGAGTTATCCTAGAGACACGAAAAACTTTTGATTTGTTAATAATAATGTTTTGTATAATGTAGAAATATTTATTTCCTACTAATAATGTCTTGGAACTCAGAGGTTACACCTTTATTGTAGTATAATTTGCTGCCCTACTTTTCCGACAGCGGTAAATCGTTTCAGCAGTAATTTGCATATTGCGCAATAATACTACGGGACTACAACGTTTTTATCAATAATATACGTTCATATTTTAACTTTGATAACTTAATTTGAAATTGAAAAGGCTAAATATGGAAGACATTAAGATATCCAGACAAAGTATGGGAGTTTTGAAGGATCAAATTCATGTACTATTTCTTGGGCTGTTAATCGGTTTAGGACACATTGCGCGAGTGTACCCAACGAAATCCCATGTGTAGATGACTTAGCTCTGAACGCGCCTGAGGGCGCGTCCGTCGCAAAAAGTAAGATTTCTTCACGAGTCGACAGCAGTCGTGTTTATAAAACTTTATAATACTGCACGTTTGTAACGTCATTTTTCATTGGATAATCGTGACGTTTATATAGTTTTATATACACGGCTGCTGTCGATTCATGAAGAAATCTTTCTTTTTCTCTCTAAAAATGATGCTTGCTGTATTATTAATTCGTTATAAAGATTGTTGACAGGTTATATGGTCGTATATAAACGGCTATTTGCAATATAACCCTCGCCTTACGGCTCGGGTTATATTTACAAATAGCTGTTTATATAGGGCCATATAACCTGTCAACGATCTTTATAACTAATAATATAAACGTCAAGATTATCCAATAAAAAGTGACGTTACAAACATGCAGTATTATAATATGATGCATATCGACAAATTATGTGCTTTTAACATGTGTTTGCTATGATTGAATTATTGTATAGCATGTAATGAATGGGATTGTAGGTATACAAACATTTTTAACTGTTGTGTTAAAAGATATATGAAAATAGGAAATAAAGTGTAATAAATACGTTTTTTGTTGTTAGATTTTGTTAAATTCCAAAGCGTGTTACAGTAGTAGATCTACTAGCTTATAGTGTAGCAAAACTAAAGGTTAAGAAATCTTGATAATTGTTTATACAATAATTGTCTTGGTTATTTCCCTTGTATATGTCATACTTGAGACACGCATAGTTGACTCATGAAAGGAGTAGTAATAGTCTATGACTTGTATTTTCATTTTCAATACATGGCAATCTGTCACATACTAAACTGCATAGGTGACATAATTATAACTATCGTTATTAATAAATTTACTATTTCAATGAACACCTTATAAACGTCCATGCTCTAGAATTTAGGAGTAGCAATAATGGACTTGTATTTTCATTTTCGATACAAAGCTTTGCGTTACATTATGTTACATGTGTATATGTGTATAAGGTTAGCACTTCATGTACTGATAAGAATCTATGACTTAAGGTATTTTAAGTCCCATATAATACCAATCTAATAACATACATATGCCACAATATGTTGTTAGTGAATAGTTGTATTGATCAATGTCCGTCATTGTATTGTTTTTGTAATTGGTATTGTATTGTTTTGCATTTATTGTACTGTATTGCACTGTACTGCACTGAATTGAGATGTTGTAGTTATTTCTGTATCAGACCAAAGGCTTATTAACCTAAACCAGACTGTTGTTGTTCATATGTAGATTTGGAAATAAACAAAATTCATATAAATTTTATTGATCTGGTAACAAAGATATGCACATAATATTTAAACAGCCGATCTAGGAAGTTACAATCTCAAAATAGATGAAACTGAAAATTCAATTTATACGAGGTTCTGCTCTATATTGTCAGTAATTGAATGCCATTGAATTTCATTATCACTCACATATATACTCGTTAAACACGTTTATAACCAAGATACATTAGTTTGATAATCAGTCCCTTTTGTAATCAGCTCTTTTTAAGTTTCTTAGTTACAAACAAATCAAATGCAAATTTAGTTTTGAAAAGCAAACCAAAATATATGTGTAAATACTTAATGTTACTTATTTAATTATATGATTTCTAGTGACTCAGAGTTCAGGTTGGACCGGGTGTTATTTTACTAGTGGATATGTACTGTAATAGATATGCACATGTCACGATAATTAAATACTTACCTACCTGCCTGCCTATCTACTTTCTTACTAATTATGTCTATTATTAAAACAAAAAATAGAATAAAGACAAGGTACTCATGACAATAGCACATAACAAACAACTAAACTCACATTATACAAAGAGCAAAATTGATATTGTTTTCATTTTAAATTCACCACAGCATATTCTTAATATTTTCTCATTTTATTTATTGCCATTTCCGGCATCTTCTCAAGAGTCCACTGTTAAGCATACAGGATCATTTCCATGCATTCATACAACTTGAATATTTATCACTTTGCTACCTAACTGTCTCGATTTTTTTTACATATTTTTATTTTTGAGTCAATATGCTTTTAATTTGAGATTGGAAATTAATAGTTTTTAGAAAATTGAACATTTCAAAACAGATTTTCGAATGACAATACAAGTTCATACAATTTCTTTAACCTAATATTCCAGGCCATCGGTCCAAATACATTATACAATATCAAAACGATATACATTTTGTTTTATTACCCCTCACTTTTTTCGTAATGTTAATTTCCCATAGGCCTCTTAGAGTTATTCTTACTGTTAATGCAAGTGTACATGTGCCACGTGACTCAGAATTTATACTGTTACATAGGTAACAGTACTATTTAACAGTGTAAAATCTGGTCACGTGGTCTATTTTTCTTAATAAAATAAATTAAAATGGCCGAATTTTTTTCTCGATTCATTTTTTCTCGAATATTATGGATATGGTCGACATTCATAGGATATAATCGTTAATTTGTAAATACACTTCGTCAGAAACCATGCGAAGAATATTCTGGACATAGAAGGATCAGATTTCACAGATCATAACATATAAATGAGTTTGTGTTTTGTTTTCGAAATAAAACACAGCTTATTGTATGTGTATGACTAGTATATACCATCACTTGCTTAAAGAATAAACGGAAAATAACTTCTCAAGAAGGCCTACAGTAACGCCCGCCTCGGGTAACAGTATTTTCGTCGGATGATATTTTAACTGTTACCCACAAACCCATGTGTTATTTATATAGTGTCACAAAGAAAAATATCCAATTCAATAGCAAAATAGTGAACATTGTACAACAAGGTAGAGAATAAGACATAGTATAAAGCTACTGATGTACAACACGTAATGTCAAGGCCAGAGAATGATATACACTATACAATAAACCTATTTATGCATCAGTATACAGGTATACATTGCAAATGTATAAAAAAAAATGCATAGTCCTGTATCAACGTATCAGCCTAACGAATAAAATTCTCGAAGAAGGGTTATCCCTCGGAAGCATTAGTCACACAAAATTACATGAAAATTTCAGACTCTGTTTGATTATTTGGTTTAAGAATATGGTTGCATTTCACGGTGAGAATTTCGATGTTTCATCATTTCTGTACGCGTTTGACTTTTATCCACCTTTCTTTGCTTTACTTACATATAACAATGATTAGCATCGCCTCTTTGGTAAATGTTTAATTCAAATATCTTAATAATTAGGCTGTCAATCCAGTGCTTCATTTATTGCTTTGAATGATGTCGTAAGTTTGTTTATCGTCCTTCGAATATCGCACAAGATCCGTGTACATTTTTACAGAGTTTTCGTACTCGTCCGTGTTTGAAGAACCTGGTTCTCTCCGATTTTCAGCAGTTTTCGAATCTTCCTCTACTTTTTCGTAATATCTGTAATAAATCCTTAGTTTAAAGATATTTATAAAAGTCCCGTTATAATTATAACGTAATACTTTAGTTAAGTGCTACTCCGCAAAACAATAGCAGGAAAATTAAATATGCTACAGTGAAGATGCATGAAATATCAAGATATAATAAATTTGACAAAAGCAAAAGAATAAGTAGCAAATTATAAAATTTAAAATGAAACTTACGCAGGATCAGTCGTTCCAGCTGATTCCCCCTCGCCTTAAATGAATAAATTTGAATGAAATAAAAGCCCATTTAGGCTATAAAAAAGCTCTCGGGTTTTATTTTTAAGCTTTTTACTGTTGTTTTCTTTTACCTATTACAGTTCTGAGCCACCTTTTGCTACTCTACGTTTTGGCAATTAGAACACTTATAATGATTTAATATTTTGTATGGAATTTAGAATAACACTTAGTTACATTTTTCTATATTAATCACCTATAACCTTACTTTTAATGCTATTTTCTTCTGTTGATAAGCATATCATGTGTTTTAACAATAATAAGGAACATGGTTGACCATTTTACAAAATGAAACAGTACCCTTATTCTGAGGCTTAATTACACATACTTCATTAAGATTTTATCTTTTAAATTTCTAGCCGATGCCATTTATTTTCAATAAACATTCCAATTAGTTTCGATTTGTATTCTCAAAATATAAAATCTGTGCTATTCGAAAATAGAACTTTTACCTTTTCTGATGTTAGTCCTCCTCAGTAGAATTGTAACAAAGATTGCATAGCCACTCAAAACTGCGCTTAATAACCCGAATATTATTCCTACTATCATCCAAGTTTGGCCGCCTGTGTCTGTACCAGAATTATCTGCAATTGGTGATCTTTTACTATTATCTGAAATAAATAATAAAAAAGTAAGGAAAGTATTTGTTGAAGCACATGAAATATAATTAAAAGTAGTACATGTTCAAATACATTTTGATTTAAATATCTTTGTTTGTGTAGTGGGTGGTGGTGGTCTATATATGAGTACAAAAATCATAAAAAAAACAAACAAAAAAATATCTATCGCAGACCTCTACAACATCCCGAAGGTGGCAGATAATACATGTAAGAGCTTAAGTCACTTAAGGTAATCAATGATCATTTACCTGTTTCTACAAGATATAGGTGTTGTGTAAAGCTATCTATGTCATTTGTAACTGTCACACGATAATGCCCGTAGTCAGATGAGGTCACATTCCGGATAGTAAGGTTAGACTGTAACAAAGACGAAGATATTTGAATATCTGTGTTACTTAGAAGCTTCTCCCAACGCAAACTGTTTTCTTTGTGCCAGACAAATCCTTTTGGTCCGGGTTCCGGGTATGCTATTGCGGTAAAACTCAGAGTCGACATACTATACATTGAACTTGTGAAATTCTGTTTGATTTGCTGATTCGAACGCGGAGAGCCTGAAATCAAAATGAAGTAATTCAAACTGATGGAAAAGAATGGCACACTAGACAATCTCTTAGGTGTAATGTGATAATAAAATATTATTTAAATGTTTTGACTATTGTTTCCGTTTATGGCCATATGTCACAGAACTTAGAAGCAAATGATACTTCATAGGGATTTCTTAGTTTATAGAAAGCAATATACTTATCTTTGAAGTATATTGCATACTTACTTTACTTAATCGAGTGACTTGGAACATGAACATGAAACAAAAAGTGGAGACTTCAAAGCTTTAGTCATGCATAAATTATATAACTAATTAAGACTTTTGTACGATGTCATTAACATTTATTGTTTCGTTAATTAAATTAATTAGCTTTTAATTAACATCTTTTTATCACGCAATGATTCGATGCATTAGAAAAAAGGGAGTTCTTACATCTAACAGATATACGTATGCTTGCGCTAAATGTTCCTCCATGATTGTTACCCCCATTGCACACATACATGCCAGAATGCAAACAGTTCATGCTCTTATAAATAAAGGAAGCGATGCCTGTATCAAATTGCTGTTGAATCACTTTGTCTTCAAACAATATTTGGACTGTTGATTCCCAATAAGTATCTACTACACAAATGAAGTTTACGTCCGCTGTGTATTCATCAAGTGTGATTGCTGTTTGGCCTTCCTTTCCTTTTATGAAAAAGTCTATATCTAAAATGATAAGAAATTATTTGGAATTAAACACATGTTGAACTTGTTTTGTACTATCTTGCAAATATGTAAATGAAACAGAGCCTGTAAATGTCCATAGTAAGCTATGAGTAGATATGTTTACACAAGTCATATTGAAATGGAAGCATATTTCAAAATCAATGGCTTTAGAAGCGTCCTATCTTCAAATCTTCCAGAAGATGATTACAATGAGAATGAATTAGGAATTGATTGATAGCATAATTATTTACTTACATTCAACTTTGATATACAACGAAGAAGTTTGCTCAGTCGCGATCTTGTCTTTTGCTGAATTCGTGCAGGTACATGTATAATTCCCGGTTTGGTATTTTGAGACTGTCCTTATAACAAAACGTCCGTTTTCTCCAATTTTACTTCCTGAAGATTCATTTCTCCAAACGCATGCGCATGACGGGTAACAGTCTGCTTTGCATTTGATTGTCTGAGTAGTATCTCCTTTCATTATTACATATGGAGATGTTGTATTGATTTCGCACTTGTCAGGTCCATCTATAAAAATAGAAACTTTGCGTAAGACCCTTATTGAAGATGTATTGGAGATAAATGGTTTATAATAAGAATATAAAATTTCATGGTCGACTAAAATGTGTACTTTGGTTTAAATTTGGTTTGTGATCGTTTTCTAAACGAAACATAGAAAAAAGGCACTACACTATATGTTGTTTTTAAACATCAAAATGCCCTCGAGATTGAAAGGGTTATGTTCAAATGCTACAAAACATTTTAAGAAAAATTAACAACTTACAAATAACAACAAAAAATGACATTTCACTTTCGTCTGATGTATACCCCATAACTCCATCACCAGATTCAGCAGCGCTGCACGTTAAACTCGTGTTGGCGTCTTCTTTACCGACAGATTTGATAAATACTGTCTTTCTATTTGACGAATATACGTATCTAGCATTGGAAGGATTTGTTACATTGTTGATTTTCCAATTATATGTGAGACCTAGTGTGTGGTTTGTCGGGTATGTTGTAGAAATGCTGTTACATGTTAAGGTACTATTATTTCCTTGGATATTTATACTGTCATGATAAACAGTCGCCTTTTTTGGTTTATCTGAAGAAAAAAACAAGCATAATCATACCGTTTTCATCTGCATGCTTACAAAAACATGTTATTATCTTATGACCCATCATGAAATAATTTCACATTTGTAAATTGAATCTTTATCAACAGTAATTGAAATAGCTTAATATACAGCTCCTTGCTATCCTTTACTATTAGTTGGTAAAATTACATATATACCTAAAATATATAGCATAGCACATTGTTCTGTATTTATATCTGCCGTTCCTTCTTTATATACCAGCATATATGTCCCACCATCTTGTTTCATCACACTTGCCGTTTTAACTGTGAAATTTCCGGTGTTGGCATCTCCAATAAATTCTGAACCCATATATGATACCTCACTTCGAAAAATATTATTGTAGAACACTGCATTGTAAAGCTTATATTGCTCAAATGATGCGACACTATACAGCATTTGTCGATCATATGATTTAATTTTAGTCTGAAAACTTATTACGGCTTGTTCTTCACTTTTGACGTAAATTCTTTGAATTTCCACATCACTAGGACACTTCCACCCAAACACTGAAAAGGAAGAGACGTCTATGATTTTATGTGTGCTGATATAATGCTGTTGTCAGTGAGTGGATACACTAAAACAAGAACAATATAAGAAATGTTTGTCATTAATTAATTCTTTTACATAAATGTAAATGAAAAAGAAAGTTCTGTTTGCAAAAATTCTTTCGAACTATAATTCAATATTACAATAGGCGGTGGAATGGCTGCGTCGTACTTATAATCCGAGTCGGCTCAAACCCTGGTTCCAGGAACGGATTCGAGAGTGTGTCTATAAGCTTTGAGACAATCGGACCAGAATAAATATTGTATAAACCGAATATCACAATATTTGGAAAAAAGTAGAATTTATGACACACTTATTCTAAATTATTGTATTCATAGGTGCTTTTAATATACGTAACTGTCTTCTTGAGATATGTGTCTAAGGCTACGAAAATAAAAATACTGATTGCATTTGATAATAGGTATTTATATCCTTCATGCGTTTCTTTTTTGTTTCAAGTTGTATCCAGTTGTATCCGAAATTTGCATCATTCGAAATTGAAATATAAATATTTGCAATACCAAGCAATCTCAATAGAAGCAAGATCTTTATTCTAAAATTATAAGTTGATTGGTGTATAATTAAAAGAAGCCACTTAAATCGAATGAGATTTTAAAAAAATCTGACTCAAACTGAATATGCAAATATACGCATTTTTGGTCGGTATATTCTATTCTTTAACTAAATAATTTGAAATGAAGATTTGAACAAACTCCTTAAGGTGTTAGTCGTGAATACCGGATGTACACTGAAGTCGAAATTGAATATTAGAAAACTTAAAAAGCAGCTTTCTTTTGATTTGTACAAAATGTGATCTGATAAGTTAGTACACTTTTCAAAACATGATTAATGTCCGTTTAAATGATAATGGGATACATGTTTGACATACAACAGCAAAATCTCAAAAATGTTAATGTGATAAAACTGATTCTATTTTTTTTTTTTCATTTTGCATCCGTATTTGTTTAAAGTCTTGCACACAAAATAACTTCAATTACAAGAAATGAGCATGGACGAAGTGTAGAAAAGATATCTAAAATGATGTGTAAGAAAAGCGATACATGAACCTGCATTAAACATCCAAACTAGAAACACTTTTCCAGTCAACATCTCATTGGAATTTTGGTCCCATTCATTTCAGTGCAATTAAACTACAGTTTGAACGCTAAAATCGAAGTAACTTAACTAGGAAGTTAATTTTCTTCAATGTTCTAACAAAATGCATGTATTTATCATAACCCGGAAGTCAATTTGAAGTATTTGCTTTTTAAATATAACATTTTTTTCAACTGGATATGTAATAACCTTTTAGGGCACAGTTTAAATATCGGTTAAACAACATAAAATAATCAGGAAATGGGTTCGATATCTTAAACTAATTCATTTGCGACAGAACCTTACTGTACAAAATATATCTTCATTCAGTGCAAGTCAGTTTTACTCAGACTTTGAAGTAAAAACGGATGTGCATACACTTAAATCAGATCTATATCTATTTTTAAATTGACAATACTAATTCCATAAATATTTATATTTATATTTCATGACTATATCGAAACAAAAACCGATTACTATTCACGTATAGTATGTAGGTGGAAGTATTTTTTAAAGCCAAAAAAATAATAATTCATTGTAAAAGACTTTTTATGTAAGGAAATATCTAAGTTAGACACGCTTAATTACAGAAAAAAATCATAGACTCCCTGTCAAAACTAGAAATTTAGAAATTGATACAGAACGACTGTAGAAACAAATTCACGGTATGCAAAACAAAAGTAAGATTAGAATTTCATAATTCAAATCTTACTACATGTTTTCTATTTACAGAAAATGCAAATCTGTGAAAACTTACTACAATACGATGTTTAAAATAGTAGTAAACCCTATTATATGTATATAACTCAGAGAAATAATTAACTTTCATTCAGTACAAATTGTATGTCCCAGATATCATTTGACTCAAAATTGTTTTAAGTTTCTCCCTTGTAATTAAATGCAAAAGAATACATAACTACTAGTATTCCGTTAGATTAAAAACTGTAATTAATTATCTTTCTTTTTCTATTAAATACAAACTTAGAAAGAAATACATACCTATGTCGTTAGACTCAAATTTGTATTAATCAAGTTTTTTTTACCGTTGTAAATTCTATAAGAATTTTCAGATGTTTTATGGTGAACACAAACATTATCATTTTCCCTAGTTTCAAACGTTGTTTAGTATCATTTAAATGTATCATGTTAACTGTACTTTTATTCTTTTCGTTGTGTCAAACAACAAGGACCAGTTTAGTAATTAAGATGCTAATCCTTTTATAGTGCTTTTTTTTTCGTTTCTCAAAATCAAAAATTTTAAAATGGAATTTCTATACCATAAATATAAAAAAATCACAGTTTTTTGTCACAAAATAGACACATGTAATGAATGTGATTGTATGTATACAAACATTTTTAACTGTTTGTGTTTAAGATGTATCAAAATAGGAAATTAAGTTGTAATGGATATGCTTTTTGTAGTTAATTTTTGTTAAATTCCAAAGCGTTTTACAGTTATAGTGTAGCAAAAACTAAAGGTTTAGAACTCTTGATAGTTGTTTATACAATAATTACCATGATTATATCCCTTGTTTGTGTCATACTTGAGACACGCATTGTTGACTCACAAGAAGAGTAGTTATTGTCTACGACTTGCATATATGTATGCGTGTCTTTATAACTTTCATATAGCTTACCATTTCAATGAACGCTCATGCTATAGAATTTAGCAGTAGCAATATTGGCCTTGTAATTTCATTTTCGATGCAAAGCTTTGCGTTACATTACATGTATGTTACATGTGTACTTGTATGTGTATAAGGTTAGCATTACATGTACATGTACTGTACTACTAAGAATCTAGGTCTTCAGGTATCATACCAATCTGATAATACATATATGCTACAATATGTTGATAGTGAATAGATTTATAAATCAATGTCCGTCATTGTATTGTTATTATTGTTATTGTTATTGGTACTGTACAACTGTACTGAGATGTTGTAGTTATTTCTGTGTCAGACCAAAGGCTTATTAACCTAAACAAGACTGTTGTTGTTCATATGTAGATTTGGAAATAAATAGAATTCATATAAATTTTATTGATCTGGTAGTAAAGATATGCACATATAATAATTAAACAGCCGATCTAGGAAGTTGCATTCTAAAAATAGCGAGATGTAGCTGAAAATTCAATGCATATTTTATTTGGTTAATCATAGAACGTTAACAATTTGTTGTAATATAGCCTTGAAAAATCATTTTGATGAACACAAAATGTAATACGATTTCGCGGAATTCCGTATATTTAGAAATTTTACATTTTGTTCTTCTCACGCGCTTCAAACGGTGCAGCAGTAATTTTTTACCACAGCTAGCGTCGGTCTTGTCATTGAATAGTTTTAGGGAATTCAAGTCAAAAATGACTGAAAAGAAAAGAATCTGTATAGTTGGATCTGGAAATTGGTATGAAATTTTTATTTTAACATTCATTTTTAACTTTCTTCTCGGAGTTATTTTACCAGTTCGATTTGGAATTACGGACAGTTTCGTCCCGTGTCTGTTCGACCCAGCTATTCTTGAAAATAAGATTATTTTGAAAATAACGTTTTTGAAGGGATTCTATTACATGTACTTGTAACATACATGTCAGTGCAGTCTTATATAAATATGTCTAGGAAATTGAAATTTTTTTTGATATATTATGGATGTAAAAAATAATGATTTGTTTATTTCTGTAAGCGTATATTTTGGAAGTGGATAGCCTAACAGGCCCTTACTGCTAGCCAAAAGTTCTAGCTGTATGTGAGTCACAGCTAGCCTATACACACTGTTGAGGTGAGCCATACATCACATTGCAAATAACAAATAAATGAAATGATGAAGTCAGTAACTTTCACGTCTTAATTTATATTTTCACAAAGAATGGTAATTTAATGTATATTTTTTCTAAATAATTTTACGGATGATATTCGGCCATTTATATTATGAAAAGATATTGGACAGATCTATCAGAAATAAGTTCATCTTTAATAATTTAAGTAGTTTTCTTAAGCCGTAATTTTGTGTTATTTACATTATTATTTAAAAAATATTTTGATCTACCATTGGAAGTTGACCCACATACTTTAATTTATATCTATGTGAACCCAATAGGGTGCTTATGCAATCAGTAAAAACAGCTGTGCTGCATCATTAAAAAAAATCTTCAATGCCTGCTGAAAGTGATCAAGATAAAAAATTTATTACAAATCTATTACATCTATATTGTCCATAGAAATGATTTAATAATGTTTCAGTTTAGGTAGATCATCGGACGTCATTGTCTAAATGAGTTGCAAACTTGCATCTTGTGGCTCCTTAATAATAATTCAGTTGTTTTTGTAAATCTATATTATGGTTGTGCAATTGATGCAATTTCCTAAATATCCTGTGAATATCTCTGTAAATATTAAAAACTATTGATTCATATTTTCAACCCCTAAACGTTATTGTAAATGGCATCTTTGACATAGCCATTTGTGAGCAGCAGACACATGCCCCCTGCATGCAGTCTGTGATAAAAAGTTTCTTTGAAAAATTTTGTTCACTTAGATTGTCAGATCTGTCAAAGCAAAAAAAAAAATTAATCATCAATTGTCTTTGGTCAAGTTTATGTTAAACTTAAATGCTCATTATAGTTTGAATTTCTCAGGCAAGAAAAAGTACTCCTGCCAGATGTCAGATTTCAAGTTTTACTCATTTACAAAAGGTTCAATGAGTAAATACTAAGTCAGTGCCCTGAAAAATTATCTCTTGAGCCAATGAATCATCACTTATGAATTGACTCTGTACATTGAGATATGAAATTGAATAAAAGCTAATTGACATTGTGATTGATAATATTTTTAATTTTTCTTATTATGAAACGTAAAAGGCATTCTTATTTGGTAATGGTCCACAACAACCTGATTATCTGGTTATTTTATTATGTTTTAATATATTGGTTCTCTTTTTCATCATGATAAATTATTAAATCTTGAAATGAAAAAAAAGACTAATTAATGTTGGCATCTGTTATTTCTGTAGAGGGTAACATTTCCTACAGAATTATAGCCATGTTGCTCAGTATACTTGACAAATATGCACATACCTACTCAATAAGAAGTCGAAAATAACATTCTGTAAAAAGACATCTAGGTGGTTTAGTTCATGTATGTAAGTAGGTTTTAAGCATTTATCATGTGTGAAACAATACTTTAAAAGTCCTTGTTGGTGGTAAAATTACTATGTTCATGGAAATCCCTATCAATGCAGTAAATGTACAGTACAGTTTTAAAGTTCTAAGTAAATTTTGTTATCTTACCAAATGACTTAAGATGATCACAAAGGCAGTTATTTATAAAAGGAAATTAATTATTATTATTATCTTGATCACACTTATGTGTACTTGTATGTAACTATTCAGTATTGACTTTTCTGAAGGATATTTTGAAAAGTCTTGCTTTCAAATGATTTAACTTTTAATTAAGTACATGTAAGACTCAATGTTAATGTAACATTATGAATTATTTAATAATTGAAAATGTGGTTCTGTAGGATGAAACAAAGTCAGTGGGTTTTTTTTGTATTTACTAGTCACTACATGTTATAACCTTTTAGGGCACAGTTTAAATATCGGTTAAACAACATAAAATAATCAGGAAATGGGTTCGATATCTTAAACTAATTCATTTGCGACAGAACCTTACTGTACAAAATATATCTTCATTCAGTGCAAGTCAGTTTTACTCAGACTTTGAAGTAAAAACGGATGTGCATACACTTAAATCAGATCTATATCTATTTTTAAATTGACAATACTAATTCCATAAATATTTATATTTATATTTCATGACTATATCGAACAAAAACCGATTACTATTCACGTATAGTATGTAGGTGGAAGTATTTTTTAAAGCCAAAAAATAATAATTCATTGTAAAAGACTTTTTATGTAAGGAAATATCTAAGTTAGACACGCTTAATTACAGAAAAAAATCATAGACTCCCTGTCAAAACTAGAAATTTAGAAATTGATACAGAACGACTGTAGAACAAATTCACGGTATGCAAAACAAAAGTAAGATTAGAATTTCATAATTCAAATCTTACTACATGTTTCTATTTACAGAAAATGCAAATCTGTGAAACTTACTACAATACGATGTTTAAAATAGTAGTAAACCCTATTATATGTATATAACTCAGAGAAATAATTAACTTTCATTCAGTACAAATTGTATGTCCCAGATATCATTTGACTCAAAATTGTTTTAAGTTTCTCCCTTGTAATTAAATGCAAAAGAATACATAACTACTAGTATTCCGTTAGATTAAAAACTGTATTAATTATCTTTCTTTTTCTATTAAATACAAACTTAGAAAGAAATACATACCTATGTCGTTAGACTCAAATTTGTATTAATCAAGTTTCTTTTACCGTTGTAAATTCTATAAGAATTTTCAGATGTTTTATGGTGAACACAAACATTATCATTTTCCTAGTTTCAAACGTTGTTTAGTATCATTTAAATGTATCATGTTAACTGTACTTTTATTCTTTTCGTTGTGTCAAACAACAAGGACCAGTTTAGTAATTAAGATGCTAATCCTTTTATAGTGCTTTTTTTTTCGTTTCTCAAAATCAAAAATTTTAAATGGAATTTCTATACCATAAATATAAAAAAATCACAGTTTTTTGTCACAAAATAGACACATGTAATGAATGTGATTGTATGTATACAAACATTTTTAACTGTTGTGTTTAAGATGTATCAAAATAGGAAATTAAGTGTAATGGATATGCTTTTTGTAGTTAATTTTTGTTAAATTCCAAAGCGTTTTACAGTTATAGTGTAGCAAAAACTAAAGGTTTAGAACTCTTGATAGTTGTTTATACAATAATTACCATGATTATATCCCTTGTTTGTGTCATACTTGAGACACGCATTGTTGACTCACAAGAAGAGTAGTTATTGTCTACGACTTGCATATATGTATGCGTGTCTTTATAACTTTCATAGCTTACCATTTCAATGAACGCTCATGCTATAGAATTTAGCAGTAGCAATATTGGCCTTGTAATTTCATTTTCGATGCAAAGCTTTGCGTTACATTACATGTATGTTACATGTGTACTTGTATGTGTATAAGGTTAGCATTACATGTACATGTACTGTACTACTAAGAATCTAGGTCTTCAGGTATCATACCAATCTGATAATACATATATGCTACAATATGTTGATAGTGAATAGATTTATAAATCAATGTCCGTCATTGTATTGTTATTATTGTTATTGTTATTGGTACTGTACAACTGTACTGAGATGTTGTAGTTATTTCTGTGTCAGACCAAAGGCTTATTAACCTAAACAAGACTGTTGTTGTTCATATGTAGATTTGGAAATAAATAGAATTCATATAAATTTTATTGATCTGGTAGTAAAGATATGCACATATAATAATTAAACAGCCGATCTAGGAAGTTGCATTCTAAAAATAGCGAGATGTAGCTGAAAATTCAATGCATATTTTATTTGGTTAATCATAGAACGTTAACAATTTGTTGTAATATAGCCTTGAAAAATCATTTTGATGAACACAAAATGTAATACGATTTCGCGGAATTCCGTATATTTAGAAATTTTACATTTTGTTCTTCTCACGCGCTTCAAACGGTGCAGCAGTAATTTTTTACCACAGCTAGCGTCGGTCTTGTCATTGAATAGTTTTAGGGAATTCAAGTCAAAAATGACTGAAAAGAAAGAATCTGTATAGTTTGGATCTGGAAATTGGTATGAAATTTTTATTTTAACATTCATTTTTAACTTTCTTCTCGGAGTTATTTTACCAGTTCGATTTGGAATTACGGACAGTTTCGTCCCGTGTCTGTTCGACCCAGCTATTCTTGAAAATAAGATTATTTTGAAAATAACGTTTTTGAAGGGATTCTATTACATGTACTTGTAACATACATGTCAGTGCAGTCTTATATAAATATGTCTAGGAAATTGAAATTTTTTTTGATATATTATGGATGTAAAAAATAATGATTTGTTTATTTCTGTAAGCGTATATTTTGGAAGTGGATAGCCTAACAGGCCCTTACTGCTAGCCAAAAGTTCTAGCTGTATGTGAGTCACAGCTAGCCTATACACACTGTTGAGGTGAGCCATACATCACATTGCAAATAACAATAAATGAAATGATGAAGTCAGTAACTTTCACGTCTTAATTTATATTTTCACAAAGAATGGTAATTTAATGTATATTTTTTCTAAATAATTTTACGGATGATATTCGGCCATTTATATTATGAAAAGATATTGGACAGATCTATCAGAAATAAGTTCATCTTTAATAATTTAAGTAGTTTTCTTAAGCCGTAATTTTGTGTTATTTACATTATTATTTAAAAAATATTTTGATCTACCATTGGAAGT